TCTTTATCGTTGTAACTTCTACATTTCTGCATAATTTTTCCATTAAATACTAAATTAATATTTCACAAGGGTTACTGAAATAAATAGATAGAAATTCATATAATGCAGATTATAAGCTCTTTAAAGAAAAAATCATATAAAAGGTTTTGAAGTTACATTTTTCACGTAACATGGAAGATGCCTTCAGTATAAATGTTAAGTTTCGATTATAACAGTTTTGAAAATCTTGGTTAGAAATTTACACCATTAATAAACTTTAAGGAACTAAAAAAACAGAACTAGAATTTGAATAAATGTTCAAGATAAACATTTAGAAAAGTAATAAAACAGCTTTTAAATTTACAAAATGACTAATTTAAAGATTTCTAGCCCTTTAAATTTAATTCAACTCTCACATGTAAGATATGTGAAAAATAGTACAAATTGGCATTGTACATTCAATAATTTAAACCTTAAATAAACATTACTGTCGTAATTACTTTTTAAATACAGAATCATTTAAATTAATTAAATTTTTTTTACCTTTTTATACCACTTTAGATTGTTTGGCCACTGAAGACAGAAATTCTTCACATCCAGTCTCAGTTGATATTAACTATATAAAACATATCTATAAATTAACATATTCACTTACCTGATATGTACTTAAGCATCTTTAAATGGAAGACCCAGATTCCTTGCTTTCAGAGTGTTTTATTAAATACACATGCAATAAAATTTCTTACTTCAATACATAGAATAGTTGTCAGTATACCTCAACACGGACCATAATAATGCAATACAAATAAGAGATTAAATTATAATTATATATATATTGCACTGCCACTTTTTAATCATAGCCATTAAATTTTATAGTGAATTAAGAGTAATAAACTCAAAACGAATGACTCAATTTTACTAGTTAGAATGAGTCTTCTGAAATTCAATGCATAAAGCATAAGACATAATCCATATTCATTCATATTGAGAATATATGCTGTAAAATTAAAGAGTTTTCTTTCTTTCTAACTTTTTTTTTGGTTTTGTGAAGCTAAGTAAGTAAATACCCGGGAGGGGAAGCTTTAGTGCAGATAAGCTTAGAAATTTAAAACCGCCTGCAGAAACAAATGTTGTTGTAAAATGACGAATGAATTTCGTGTTTTAATAATAAAATAAAGTACGTTTAGAAACCAATTGCTTTATTGACGTCAGAAAAGAATTTGAGTTATTTTACACTGGAGTCCAAAATTAAATTTACAGTAACCAAAATCAAGAATATGTCAAAAATTAAGCAGTGAAGTTAATAGAGATATGTAGCTAGAATATATTATTAAAGGGATTAAGGGGACACTTTGAATGGTTTCTTTTATTTAAGGCTTTTCGTTTATTTTTTATAAATATTATAGAATTTAAGCTGAGAAAATTTGTTTCGGTAATTTTTATAAACTAAATTGAACAAAATTTTAATAATCAAAATATCTTTCTTCTTCTACAGTTTTCAGTGTTTTACCCCAATTATTTTATATTATTTATAAGGATGTTTTTATCACCTTAAGGACCGATTTTGCAGTAACTGAACTAGTTTTTGAAGAGGAAAAAACAAAGAACATATTTATACGTAAAAACTTTGAAAAATATGATTTCAGTTGCATTTTTATTTCTAAAGATTTTTCTTTTTACTACTTTGCATAATTTATCTTTATTTCTACTGAGTGTAAATTAATAAACAGGCAATAAAAACATTAAATAAGTTAGTCCATGTATTTGTAAGTTTGTTTCTAAAAGGATTTATCGAAAAATTGCAAACTCACTTTCACGAATGTTAACTCTTATAATTGCCATTAAATCATTTAAAATTTTTAAATATTTTTCTTATTGAATTTCAATATACATATGTAATAAAATCTATTATTACTCAATTAGTGAATATAAACGTAATTTACAATTTTTTATGTGAAACCTCATCTGACCTGAAAATTTGGTAGAATTTTTCGTTACCTGTTTTTGTTTTGTAAAGCATATTAAAAACAACTTTAATATATAAACCATTTATATTATTATTTTTTCTAAACTTTTGGAATCAATAAAGGATATTAAATTTTTGTTTCATAAATTTTTTGAAAATATAATTTGAAATTTGAGAAAGCATGGACAGTTTTTAATAAAAATAGCCCAGCAGCATACGTGATTTTTTTCTCTTCTTTTAGCCATTTGTTCTCGTGTATATATTGCATTTTTAATAAATATAGAAGTACTAATTAAAGAGTTTAACGTTTGTTCCAGCGCAATTTTCAGTGATGCTACAGACAGGAACTTGATCATTTTCATTACCGCACCTCTTTCTGTTCATGTATATCGTATTTCGTTTCTGAAGAAGCATAAAATAATTGACTGAGCATAGGCAAAGAAATATTTTATGTAGTGAGTAAAAAATAAAATTTACAAGCCCAAAAGTGGGTATTTTTTTTTAAATTTTACTCAGCGCTTAAAATTAGTACATATAACATACTCGTACAAACGGAGTTTGCTGTTCGTTTCAGTCACATTTAATTACTTTCCTCTTCTTCTACACTGACTTTTTTATAAATATCGGAGACAATTAAGATATAAAGAAACTAAACACTAAGGTGGATGTGGCAATTAAATGGCTATTGAAATGTTTAGAAGCCCGTTTTTAAGCATATGTTATTGTCACACCATTTCAAAATTTCTTCTCAGTGTAGTTTAATATATATTTTTAGCAAAAATTTGAAAAATCGGTAATTTCATAGATTTTTGGGTTTTAAGTCTCCCAAATCAAAATAAAATCAAGGCTGTTTCATCACAAACATACATCATGCACATGAAAATATGTAAGCTCAAAAAGAGTCAGGAAGGAAATTTGCTTTAGAAAAGCTAGTAGAAAATGTATCCAATTGTAAATAGTGTGCAGGTTTCATATCAAGTTTTCACATTATTTATATTCAGGTTAAGGGTTTTGAGGCTACGAATTTTGTTCTTCAAGAGCAAAGCTCCTTAAACTTTGTAAAATTCTTTGTAAAAAAGAAAGATGGAACGTCTTGTGATTACTTTTCAAAGAGAATCTCAGACAGGTCGAATGCCTTCAAATCAGAATTCTGGACAGTTTTCCATTCTCTGAGTATACTTCCCGTCAAGGTATTCGCATACAACACTGTTGAGCAAGTCGAATGTGCCCTACTAATTTGGCCTATAAAAACTAAAATGGAATCAACAAAAAATTAATTGGTAATGAGAGAATGCGTATATAATATTTTAAGATCTACTTATATCTTGTAGCTGACAGCGAAACTTCTGAAAACATATGGAGTGCGATCATTAATATAGCATGATACCGCATTATATTTTTCGACAAAAAAGAGAGTTTAAAGTTTAAATTGAAGTTACGCTTGTTTTATGTAGTTCTGGTGAGTGAACAAGCTGACTAATCTCAAGTCGAAGCCTGATGTTGTCTTTCCGTTTCAGATTTGCATTTGTGAGAGAAAGTTTGAACGGGAAGCATATCAAAGTTGTTTTACAAAGAGGCTCTTCTAGCTGAGTCTTCTGTAAAAAGTTTGTCTCAATCGAGAATCGAGAAGTAGAGGATGACTTTAAAGGAAGTTACTTGTTGACACTTTAATTGCAGGCAGAAGGCGAATGTAGGTCTTTGAACTAGCTAAGTCTCTTGAGCGTCTTTGCGATGGCTTTCTAGTTTTGTTCCTGTCATTGAAACTAATGTCAAAAATAGATTCCCTGAAAACATTTAGTTATTTTACTTAGGTAACGTTTACCATTGACGCATTTAAAGTCATGTAGTCGTTCTTCACATCAAATAATAGATATTTACAAGAAGACGGATAACCATAATTACACAGAAAGTCGATATGAGATATGCATTTACTCAGGATATGTGTTCAGAAAATAAATGACGTAGTATCTTAATTTACATATCTATGCAAGGATAATAGCACATTTCATAAGATTTCAAAATGAAAATTATTCATTCTTTTTCAGTGAAAAGAATTTGTATTACAATTTAATAACAAAGAAAGACTTGATTTTGTTTCTGTTAATTCAGTTTTTGAACACCAGCGTATTTATGTAAAATAACAATTACCCACATAGATTGTATGCTTTGGTAAAACTAAATGTATTTAATATTTTTAGGATGTATTTAATTATATTATAGTTGGAAAGCTTTTTCTAACATCCTTTTATTAAACATCGTTTATTGTTTGGATGTTTCATACGTTTATTTTAAACCATTTGAATATTTTGCTTTAAAAGAATGTAGCTTTTAATATGCCAAATAAAGTTGAAATGGGAATCCTGTTAAAATGATTAATAGCTTAGCAGAAAAGAAACGAAATTAATAGATATAATTTCCTTCGTAAATATGAGTAAGCCATTTAAAAAAAGTATTTTAAAATTTTGACAATTGGTCAAACTGTTTTGAATTTCAGGATAAACTAAACTACGTTATACATTAGTAGAACACTAAATAGGCAGAAACTTTCTAAAGCTAAAATAAATTACGAAATAAATAAAATAAATAATATTGAATTACATATTTATTTTCATGTGACGTTTCATATATTGTAAATACGGCTAAAAAGCAATGACTTGTAAATATTTACATGGTTGCATTATATGTTTAAATGTGTAAATTTAGCTATGATAGTAAAACTTTAAATAAAATATTAATATTTTATGCATAACGTGATACCCATCTTGATTTGTTTTCTCTACTAAAATGTACTGACTTACTCCTTTAAAATCTGGTTTCTGTTACAGCTATTTTGAGAAGAAAGTTAAAATAAACTGCTTAATAATTCAAACTGCGGCGAAAAAATTCTCGAAGCATTTCTTTGAGAGAATGTTCTGAAAAGGCACAAGTGCATATGTTTTCGTAGATTATCGTCTAAATGAATGCTTTTGTTTTAAGAAAGAACTGAAGCAGTTAAGTGGATAATGCAAAACCATTCTACTATTAAGTTTTTACATTAAATATTTTTTTGACTTACCAGAGAATGCGGAATGCCTTGGTTGAAGATGATTCCTTTCGTGTAGTTAATGAGATTATCTTGTGCTAGCAGCAGGGATTTTTTACTGGGTTATGATTAAATCAGTACCTAGAAAAAATAAAAGAAAACATGTGGTTCACAAGCATAAATAAGCTTAATTAACAGCATATGCCAACAAAATGGTCACAGTTCACATTTGA